GGTATAAATACTATATTATCTGTGTTTTTACCCGTTTTTAAGTCACTATAGTAGTGTGGTACCAATCCAAATGATCAATTATTGAATTTAAAATAAAAATATAGAAGTTAATATTATATGTTTTCCGAATTTGTTTATTCTATATTCTATATTTATGATATTAAATTTAAAGTGGGAACCAAACATCCGATTTTAAGGGGTTCTGTATAGGCAATTTCAATTTAGAAATTATAAAAGATATGATGTACCTACTTATTAAAAATAGCCTCCAAAGTTTTGAAATTAGAACCTCCGTAATTTATGCCATTCTTGGCATTTTTTTTTTAATTATACTGCTGGTCGTCAAGTTTGATATAGTTCATCTATGTGTCAATAATTATTTTAATAATATAATATGTCCTAATTATTACATGTCCACTTTTTTGTTAATCGTGCCCTTGGCTTAAATTGTTAGCTGAAAGAAGAGTTGATAATGACCTGGTGTTTTGTCTAAAATTATTAATTCTAACAGATGCTACAGTAACAGTATTACTAAGGAATACTATCGACAATCAATTTCCTCGTCCTTCACAATTTATATTATTTTTCTATTCACGTTATCAAAAAAAAAATCCTTTGTATAAGAGGACGAAGCTAGCCAACGAAGACCAATCATTCCTCATTTGATTTATTATTATTATTACTATTATAAGTGTTGTTAATATTATTATTCTCATATACATATTATTTCAACGTAATTTTATTACCACTTTTATAACGTTACTTTTTACAAACTTGCTAAATCTTAATTTGTCAGCTTAGTATTAACAGAGGTACCATTTGAATACCCCTGAATTGGGTTCAACCCGTATAAATGTATAAATAAATAAATAAATATAGAAGATAAAATATCCCGTATAATATTATATTGTAATATTCATATTAATAATTTATCACGACCCCACCAATGACCACCGTAGTTGAATAATTTAAAATTCCGTTTCGTCGTCGTTCGTATAACAATAATCTAATATAATATCATGTAGTCTGTATATTCATTCTATTATATCGACTCGACAAAAATCGGTATAATCGTCGACGTGCTTCCTCCCCGAATAAGACGTATATGCAGTTCGCTGCTATTTATGATGCGTATAATGGGGAGGAAAAATTCCACGGGGGCCATATTGTAATGCATTATTATTGTGATTGTTATTATTATACGCACTCGGACGGACGACCGTTGTTGTGCTAATAAGCCACCTGCAGCGGAGGGGAAGGAAATATTAATATATATGGCATTCATCGTCACCTCGTCGCCACCGCCACCACCGTCGCGCGTCGTCTTCGTCGCTTTCAGAGTACAGGCATTATATTTTATACGTACTACAGGTAGGTGTGTGTAGGCAAGGAGGGTATTTGAGTGTCCGAGTAGTATAATATTATACGCGTATTGTGTGCGCCGCGTCGACTACCCCGTCGAATTTCCGGCTTAACGCTCACGCTCGCACCACGATCATACAGTTTATAATAATAAACGTCTCCGTTGTTCGGCACCACCTCACGGACACGTACGATCGGGTTGTTTATTTTTAATCCCGACGCCATCGTTCTGTACAGGGTGTGTCGAGGTATGAAGTTTTCAAATCGATATTGCCACCCAGATATGAATCGTTCTTGCGCGTGGGCATCTGACAGACGTTGAAATCGAGTGTAGTGTAGTTCGAAGCAACCGACTTGTATAGCAAATCAATCGTCTGTAACTTTTAAACAATATTGTGGTATAGTAACTGCATAACAACAACATCATGATTTTCCATGGCAAGGATTGGGTGTATGAAAGTTAAACCTGCCTACCCATGAAACAATAAGTAAAATAACTATCCGATAATTGGTTTTCGGTGTGTAGTTCATGGTTGTACGAAAACGTCGAATTACTTGAGTAATTAATCGGAGGTCCAACCGGATGGTCTATTTATTTGTTGACATTACTCGAGGGCTGCGGTAGTCCAATGGGTGGTGGTTACATTACATTTTAATGTATTTATATAATATCACATAAAAAAAAAACAGTTTTGAAATAATCACAAATAATGGACATTTAACAAGACATAATAATAGGCGTGTACAATAATGTTACGAAGACGAGAGAGACGGTTCTTTATTCGCAATACCCGCATCGTCCCAACAAGGGGCTCTCATTAGCAGCTGCGCAGTTTGTGGTACCTACATAATAATATAGTGCCGACGAGGATAATGTATAACTTATTACGTGGAGAAAAATAAAGGACTTTTAAATGTTAATGCAACAAAGGAGATAATAATATTACGCGGAGATATTGCACCTGAGAAGAACTTGCTAAGAAAATCTAAATTTGCCTGGACTCTTGTATCTGCAGGTTTAGGCATGTATAAACCAGGACAAAAAAGGCGCGCCCAGACACCCTGTATAATATTTATACATGTATAAGTAGGCTCAAAATGTAGGTATGTATATACAACACGTATGTCGTATATTATATACAATAAAGCGTACGACCACGAGAGGTGATGGTATTTTATTTCTCCTCCTTACTGTCATATACATAACAATATGTACCTACAACCACCTGCAGGATAATCGCGGCCGGAAAGGAATACAATATAATAATAATAATAATAATAATAATAATAATAATATGATATATGTAAGACCGCGGCGGCGGCGGAGAGTGCATGTACGTGGCGTGGAATAAAATAAAATATAATATTATTTTCTCGGTGTTCGATCGAACACAATGCACGGATTTCTGTCTCGATGATCGAAATCCCGCGCGACGGACATACGTGTTAAATTGTGTGTGTGTGTGTGTGTGTGTGTGTGTGTGTGTGTGTGTGTGTGTGTGAGAATGCGCCGATAACGTACGTACAAGTATACATATAAAATATATTCAGCCCGCGACACTCGTATCGAGTGTGCACACTACGGGTACATGGATGCTACGACCGACCGTCTCCCATTGGTGCGACGACGGCGGCGGCCGATCGTCTCCAGGCCCGGCGGATCACAACCGCAAGCATGCCAGACGACTCAAGTATTTATACGGGTACAGGGTGATTCACCGGTCATGCACGTCCCCATTTTTTCGTTCCACTATGATTTGATTCAATAATAACGATTTTTATAGAGACCGTGTTTGATAAGTTCTTTACGATTTTCTTTTTCTACTATACTGCTGTCTTGAAGAATGCCCCGCGGCGATACACACTTCTGTTTTCGAAATGACAACCCTAATTTTTTTCTGTAAATTAATTAGTAGATAAAACGTCTATTTCACCGAGGATAATGTCCTTAATGTTGGTTTTACACAAATATAAATGTATAGTACGTGATATATTGGACCTTGTGTTTATTATACACCTGTACCTACTATTTTTACGAATTATAAATGTTGGTGGGTTAATATAAATTACTTAAGCTTTCAACTCACCATAGGTTTCATATCTTCCCTCAGACCATGATGGACTAATAGTCCTTAGTACACACTTAATCAAGTCTATTCGTTTGAATTTTGATTTTTCGAAATATTTCAAAGAATTATACGTTTGTACCTTCCATATAAGAAGTACAAGAATTCTCAAGAATTTGAAAATTATTGATGAAAAAAGGGGGCGAGCACGCTAGGCGGATCACCTTGTGTTATATCATATATACATAGTTGGGAGTTTATACCATATAGACATATAGTATTTAGATACATATTATTATTACTATACATATTATTCATCATATATAGATATAGGGGAAGAAACGTTTGGGAATGCATGCATGTATGACCAGGTACACTTATAGTGTGTTCATGTATGTATGTGTGCGTCAGTGTGCTTGTGTGTGTGTACTGGAAAACCGCGCCCTTACAGAGGTCGTTTTTAAAGACCAATCGTCAACGTTTTCCACGGCGGTTTCGTCGACGAACACAGAGTATTTTATTATATCTTGGGCAGAGGACTTGTAGCTCTTAAATTCACCAAATATGCACTAAAATGTACAAAATGTGCATTAAGAAATGGATATTTTTTAATAAAAAATAAGATTATAAGATTATTTGTATGAATATATTTTATTTAAATTTTGATATCTGCGACCTAGGCGCGATGGCGACGTCCCTGTGGTCCGTATCGATAATATTTTATGCAGTGAACAATATCTGTCTATAAATGAAATTAATATAACCGGGAAATAAATCTAATCTGCAATCCTCGATACGTGTTTCTAGGAAAAATATGCATAATTTTAATTACATAATTTTAAGATCAACATTATTTTGGTTGTATATTAAATATTTTTTTTTAAACATTTATTTGGAAAATATACAATCTGTAAGGTTAGTTTACAATAGGCATATATGCGGTGTTTATGTGTTTTTACGTGAGTTTACATATAAATATTTGTAAAATGATAAATTATTTAAAATATGCATCTAAAAGTATAGGATCGAAGAAATATGCCCTAAAACCAAAAAAAACTCGAAATATGCATTTATATGCAAAATTAAATTTCAAAACTATCTTTGTTTCAGCATGAAACGTATCTGTTCTTACTTTTCTATTTTTGTGATTGTGCAAAATAAATATGCAAATTCTACAAATCCTCTTCCCTAAATGTATCCCCGTCCTCTTGCACGTTGCACGTATCACACAACACTAACCATATTGTAGAATAATTGTATAGTGTTGTATTACTAGCAATAAAAATTAATGATTTTGAAAATATATAATATCCTTATTCTCTACTTGTGATTATGTGATACGCATGTCTGATAAGTGATAATCCGGGACTCAACTAGTAAGAAGACAGTAAATATATACAATGTCATTGAAAAATATGGGACTAGATGAATTCAAAATGAATTCATGATTTGAAAACTCGAGACTCAACCGGGACAATTTCAAAATTGAATTTTATGTTTGGAGGGAGGGATTCAATTCAAATGCACCTGCAAAGCCGAACGACTGCAATATTATTTTCGTTGCAGTTTGTAATACGTACGCTCTTCGGCAGGGTGCATGACGTATAATATTGAGTACAAATGTGCTCGTTAATTAATTAAATTGTTTAAGTTAAGTTAAATTTGTGACCAGTCGTTATGTGTATTTATTGTTTTGTAGGCTCTATTGTCTACTTGATATGCTTTCCTGCGAGGACGGACGTGGGTATTCAAATACTATATGTGATGTAAGTAACTGTACAATAATTGTATCATTAATATATTATAATATTATCTTAAAGATATTTTGCCACAAACAAAACGCTAGTTTTTTCAACATTTAGACGACGAATCTACCTATACAAAACATTTTGGCTTTCCAGTCGGTATTATCACAGAAAAATCCGAGTTAACGCATTCGTGTGTAATGTACGTATTACTATTACGACTATAGGTTATGCATACCTATTATTATAATATAGAATATAAAATATAGTATCATAGTATAGGTACCTGTTATAATGTTATAAGTAAAGACCGGATTTTTATAAGTTTTAAATTTTAAAATATGCGTGCATACATGCACTAAAAAAGGTCAAAATATGCAAAAAAAAGATGCAAAAGATGCAAAATAAAATTTCAATTTTTATTACATTTTATATTTGATTTTAATTTTGTAGTGATAATTATTTATTAGTTTTATTAAAATTTTCGTAACCAAAAAGTAAGATGTATAATATAACAAGTACGTAATACAATAATGTAATTTGTTAAATTGTAATTCAATTTTTAAACATTGATACATTGTAAAAAATATTTTATTAAAATTAAATAGTAGATACATTGGTGATGTGCTGGTATAAATAGCAAAAAAGTACGAACAATAATTTAATGTTGTATATTAATTGGAAAAACAATGACCTAACCTATTTTTAGCGTCCGAATATTCTTTGAGATCTAAAATATTTGATATTAATATTATATAAACGTGCCTATAATCGGTTTTTAATTTTTGTTCAGATCGTTAGGTGCATATTTGGTTTTTTCTTAAAATATGAAAAAATATGCAGAACATGCACTAACGCCAGAATTTGCAAAAATATGCGCTATAAAATGTTGATATTTAATCAATCAAGTAATGACTTGTGAACACTCATTGACTGCATGCAATGTTGTTGAAAATAGCAACATGTATTTTAGGCAAAGTCCAGTCTTTAGTAATAACTAATAAGCAGTAGCCGATCAAACAAAATAAGATACATTTAAACCTCAATAACTCGAACTTCTATAGGTCGAATTTTCGATAATTCGAAGAAACCTGCATTTCAATGTGTACATATATTTTTTTCAATAAGTCGAGTTTAGACTTTTTTTTTGTCCCCGACCAATTCGAATTATCGAGAATTCACAGTATTATTCTGTCTGTCTGTACTCTATTTATAGCTGATGTATATTATCGTTCATTTTTAACTTATTACAATAACATTTTTTTATTATTTAGACTAGTCCAATATTTTGTTTTTTCAATACATTTTTTTATTTAACCAGTTAGTTAATTTTTTTACTCAACTTAATAATTTGACTAGTTTAATATTGACTGTTGAAGTATCTCAGATTTTTTCAGTTGACTTAAAAAATAATCTTCAAATCAAAATCATAAATTATTTTTGAAGTTGTTGGTCTTAATGGTTTCAAAACTTTAATATCACTCTATATATACACGATTATCAATGAACATAATCAAATAACATAATTTCTGTTATGTTTCTTGATAAAATACACTTATGTGATCCACGTATGTACTAGTTAAAAAAAGAAAAACCTTCTTTTTAAACGGAATTAAGTTATTAAGTGCTAAGTTAAGTAACAAGTGCTCATTTAAATTGAATTTATTATTTTTAATGACTTGCCCACTTTTAATTTTACACATATTAATATATAGTTTATATAATAGTAAGCATTTTCATAGAGTGACAAAATGTTAAGCGAAAGCAACGCCGACCTATTCATAAACACTGCAAACACACATGGTCGTGCTAAAATGTGGGAAGAAGGGCCTTCAACTGATCGATGGAATAACACGACATAGGTACCTACGTATAATTCTGCGACAAAAATCGACAGGAAAACATTATTTATGCAATTCTCATGCAGTATTAAAAAGCGTTTATTTAAAAGAAACACAAATTGAGCTAATCTTGATACTGAAAACCTTGAAGAAAATTGTATCGTGTGATAATACAGTGCATTATTGATTTTTTAATTTGATTAATCAATTGATTGAACGGTTTGAGTGACATAAAAATATATTTTAAAGGTTTTTAGTTACTTAATCAAATTATGATACTTACAGGTACCCTATTCAAAATTTCAAAGTTACCAATTTTTTGCGTCAAAGTGTTTTTGTTTTATCAATATATTGAGTCGCTGCATGTAGACGACTTTGGCTAAGTATCGTACAATATTGTTGTATTCTAATAAGTAATAATGATAAATCATAAAGACAAAAATAAAACGGTTGTAACGGAATTACATTCATGGAAAGCTATATTATTAGTAATAATAAATTGTAAAATGTCAGTGAAAATATTGGTTTAGGTGAATAGGTACAATAAGTTGGTCGGAGGGAGGTGTGGCGCTTAAAAACGTTCAATCTCGATCCGGCGCTCTCACCGCAGCTATTAAGCACATATTAAACTTAATATTATTTTCAACAAACGCCCTCTTAACGCCACTGATTTTTTTCTTTCTTAAACTCGTCTCGACAGTTCTCCGAGTATAATATAATAAACATGTGAAATATCGATAAACCACAGCATAGGGCGCATACACATAATATTATATATTATGCACATTAAAATATTATGTTCACGGCAAACCCAAATAAACGATCGTCACGAGCACGTTTTCATTAAGAGTAATGAATCGACATAGAATAATAAATGGTATTATATTTAAGGATGTGGGAGCCTGCTATTTATCGAGGGGCAAAAATTCAGGCAGTTTCTGTAGTTACGACTTACGAGGCCATACAAATGAAATAAAACAATTTCAGCTGTTAAAAATGACTTTATAGTAAAAACGATCTCGCTTCCTAGAATTGTCGGATTTTAACCTTTTATTTATTTTTTCATAAAAGAAGAAAACATTATTCTGGTTGCATTGAATTCAGATTTTAGAATTGATTTTGAAAGATGGTGGAAATATATATTTAAAAAACTCAAAAATGTAATTCTTGTATTCAAAGCTTTATATAGGTGATGTTGATTACAATTTATAAAAACAGAGTATTTAAAATATGAATCAAGTCTGACCTGCATAAAGTGATGTATTTTTGGTCTTTCAAATAAAAATAAATTAATCTATTTCAGAATATTTCATGAGAGTCGAAGTTCCGTGCTAAAAAATGTATTTTAAAACGACACCTTTCTTAAACATTTAGTTCTACTCTGCTCAACAGCAATCACTCACACAGTTTATTGTGCACTTCATAGGTGTACGAGTATACACGGAATATAATTTTTTATATAAGCTATATATTGTGCATCGTAACAATGTGCTATATAAGAGCACCGTAAATTACGATATATTAATTTTTTTTCTCTGTGACATTTCAAATATTGTCGTCGTGTCAAAACGAAATGTTTAATAAATAACCATGACAGTCGGCAGGAGAAAAAAAATCACTCACATTTTTAATAAATCATTAATCTTTGGTATTATTTGACACACAAAGATGTACATGTATAATATAAAAGATTTTTTTGTTCGTTTGATTGTTTATTTGTTTGTTTTTTTTTTGTGTTTTTTTTTTTTATAAATACACAACCTTCCGATGACCGACTTTGGTTATTATTTTATTATTTTATTTTTTGCTCGTCTAAACATGTTTTTGATGCACAATTACATCGGCAGTGTCCAACTATAATAATATTAGGTATCTATCTACATTTTTTGTTTCAATAATGTATTTTAATAATTTTATTAATCATGTTAGTAAGTTGCTAAGTATGCGCAAGGACCATAACATGATTTGAAATACCTCAATATTTATATTCTATTTAAGTATTTTGAAATTTTTGTATTTAAGTAGATCCATTTAAATGATAATTTATTTCTTTAAATTACGAATCAAATAATTTTAAAAAAATATTGATAAATCCAAATAAGACATTAAATGGGTATAGTTTTGAGTAATTTAACTTTGTCTCAAGGATTATAGGTTCATGATAACAGATTTATACTCATAGAACAATATGCCGCCGTGTGACACGTATGTAGGGAATATAGGTAGGTTTTGCACGTTTAATATATTTTCGAGAAATAATTGCCGAACACAATTTTACGACCAGCGTTTAAATCGCATTAAAATATATTTTATGGTTTCTTTTAACGCTCGCACCTATACCTATATTTGATGATCTTTTAGAAAGTTGTATAAATAGATAATAATGTTATTTAGCAAAGTTTAATGATCTAGTAGGCGTATAATGTTTTTATTTCGATTTAAGGCGGCATTAGGGAAAATCATATTATTACCCAAGTCGCCACCGAGAAAAAATGATTTTATGTACATTTATTATACAATAATATTAAAAACCTTAATTACGAGTCCGATAATATTATTATATTAAAGCAGTTGAATACAATGTTGAAGGGAAACGAGTTGTCGCTAAAATGAATAAAACGAAAGAATGCAAATGTAAATAGGGTAATATAATAATATTATGTGTTAATACACCTGTTATACCACTGTCATAGTGTCATATACTAGAAGACTGTGCGCTCGTTATTTAGAGTATTATGAGAAAAAAACCAAACTATTAAGTTTTCGACTAGACCTGGGATCGGTGGAATGGGCAGTATAAAAAAATAACATAATTATAAGCTCGCACAAAATATATAATACAGTGAAACTTTCAGTATTATTACCAAGTGACCTGTGACCAAAACAAATCCGTCAAATAGAATAATTAAGTGCATACATTAATCAGTTCTAATCCGGTCGCGACGGTGCGGTTATCGTAAATAATTAGTCGAACAGACGATTTCGTTACATTTAATTTCGTCGTGTTGCGTCGTACGAAATAATAATACCATTTATACATTTTATACGGAAAATCACAAGAGAAAAATAAGCAGTCGTCATTGTTCGCGGCGAGGTAGAAACTCGCGCGTTTTGTCGCCATCACACTCTTGGCAAACACGTGTCGCGTCAGTACAATGTGTTTGGTACAGTCGGGCAGGT